CACCAGACTACAATGTGCACTCCCGTGTTAAGGATTTTGTCAGATATGCGGAAAACGTGGCACGCAGCTATGCCACCAGCAATATATTTGTACCTATGGGTTGTGATTTCACGTATGAAAATGCGAACCAGAATTTTGTCAACATGGACAGACTCATTCGGTACGTGAACGCCATGCAGGGGACTGCGGGCAGCAAAGTGAATCTCCTCTACTCAAGCCCCACCTGCTATACAAAGGCGGTTAATTTAGAATTTAATCGACAGGGTACAATTGCCAGCCGAGGCGGTGACTTCTTCCCCTACGCTAGTAGTTCAACCGCTTACTGGACGGGATACTATACTAGTCGACCAGCACTGAAGTACTTCATACGTCAATCATCTTCCCTTCTTACTATGTGTGAACAGGTAAGTCTATTAGCCTGAGTCTGTTTCTGCGATTCTTCTTTCCTGGAAAAAGGTCCGCACTCAATAAAATCACCAGTCTAATTTTAGAGCGTAAGCCCACCTTGGTTTGAGGATAATGCCAAGCCCTCAAAGTTAAGCACTGAAGGATATGTTACAAATGGTACTATTCATGAATGTGTGTGTTTCACCGATCTAGTAGAGGAACAATTAAGTTCCATTTTGCCCAGGAGCTCACAACGTGAACCCGCCAGACCGTCACATTGTGACCATGATGATTTGATGAAGTGGATCCGACAAAGCAAAGAGTTCACGTTGTGAGCTCCTGGGCAAAGCAGAACTTAATTGTTCCTCTACTAGATCGGCAAGACACATACATTCATCATATTCCCGATCTCAACCGACAAAGCATGGAGCCCATGGAATAGAGGTAGAGTACTGAAATCAATGACCAAAGGTCCCGGGTTCAAATCTCGGGGGTTGCGACCCTTGAGATTGGGTATGACTGGCTGATGACGGCTAGTAAGCCAGAAATGGCCATTCCTCTAGATTGGGTATGGCTGGCTGATGACGGCTAATAAGCCAGAAATGGCCATTCCATATTGGGTATGACTGGCTGATGACTGCTAATAAGCCAGAAATGGCCATTCCGGATCCCTTTGCTTTGTCGGATCCACTTCTTCATCATATCACCTTTGTCACTATGGGTATCACTGGCTGATGACGGCTAATAAGCCAGAAATGGCCATTCCGGTCTTGGTATGACTGGCTGATGACGGCTAATAAGACAGAAATGGCCATTCCGGTCTCATATTGCTTTGTCGAATCCACTTCATCAGTATTATTCATGTCAGAATGAGGATATATGTTCTTTTGGTGATTTTGAAGGTTAACATTATATTTTGTACACAATAGCGTGACAACTTATGTGCATATTCTTAGACTTGCAAGTACTGTAAACAATATTGTCTGTCTTAAGACATAAACATCGGTAACTCTATTCCTAAATAAGGTAAACTTTAACATCACAAACATTTTAACTGACAACCGTGATATATGAAGCAGCACAATAAGATACTGGGTATTTACTTTCCTAACTGTACACGGCCCTCATGGGGACTCAGACCCTTTGGTCGAACTTCTAGGGATGCCATGATGTCAACAGGGAGCAGGAAGGGAAGTCGCCCAGTTTGACACTATTGACCAGCTTTTAACATCAGCTCCCTACCAAGCTTTTTTAGATGGAGGTGATAATGGGAGCGCCAGCCTATAGTCGGTTTAGCTATTTTCAGGGCCAACGACCAGTTGGCGCTAATCTACCCATACTGGTGTACGGAAATGGTTGTAACCTGGTAGGGACACGGACCATTAAGCAACAGCCGGCCACGCTCCTGTTCACAGTTGACCTAGATTCAACGATCGATCATTAAAAGTGTGTTTTAACTTTATGAATTATCATTTAAGTAAAATTGCGCCGATTACCTTTTAACATAATTTAATGATACTTCTGATGCCCCAGAATACATGCAGGGTAAACCCCATACGATAAAAATGACCAAATGTGTAGTGTGCATTTGTTCCATAGATGCTCAATGCCTTCAACATTCAGATATATTTTACTGAAAACATAGGCAACAGCAATGTTTCTTGTATCCAGTTATCCGCGAACCACGATTTCTCTAAATTTACCTTCAAAGAAATGGTATCTTTTAGTTTTAAAGACTTTTCCAACTGTGAAATTTTGTAGGATTTACCCGTCTATTCATACCGCATATTTTCTGTCCATTTATTGATGCCTTTCACGAAGTATTCGATGTAGTCCACATCCATCACAAAATTACATTATCACTCTATG